AAGGCACTGGTGAAAAACAAGGCTCAAGAAATTGAGATGTTTCTTAGCTCAGTAATGAAGTCACTCCTGAGGTTCACCCTTCAGCCAAATATGAGACAGGCCCATAAAACAAAACGAGACTAAAGGGGCACACCAGCCTAGGGGCAAGGACTAGAGGAGGGGACAGGAAAGCCAGTAATAGGGAACCCAAGTTCGAGAATGGAGAGTGTTGACATGTCATGGGGTTGTTAACTAACGTTATAAAACAATATATGTACTAACTGTTTAATGAGAAGCTAGTTTGTTCTGTAAACCTTCATCTAAAGTACAATTAAAAAAAAAAGAGCAGGAGTGGCAATAGTAATCTCTGACAAAATAGACTTTAAAGTAAAATCCGCCACAAACGATCAGGAAGGACACCATATAATGATTAAAGGGTCAATACACCAGGAGGACAAAACCATAATAAATATTTATGTACCCAATGACAGGGCTCCAAAAAAGAAATTGAGATGCTTCAACAAACGGATGGAATGCTGGAAGTGCTCACTCATCCATGCCAAGAAATTTGGAAGACAGCTACCTGGCCAACCGATTGGAAGAACTCCATATACATGCCCATTCCAAAGAAAGGTGATCCAATGGAATATGGAGATTATCGAACTATATCATTAATATCACATACAAGTAAAATTGTTGTTAGGTGCCGTACAGTCAGATCTGACTCATAGCAACCCTATTACTGCCCGGTCCTGTGCCATCCTCACCATCACTGCTATGTCTGAGCCCACTGTTGCAGCCACTGTGTCAATCCATCTCATCAAGGGTCTCCCTCTTTTTCACTGACCCTCTGCTTTACCAAGCGTGATGTCCTTCTCCAGGGACTGGTCACTCCTGATAACATGCCCAAAGTAAATGAGACAAAGTCTCACCATCCTCGCTTACAAAGAGCACTCTGGCTTTACTTCTTCCAAGACAGATCTGTTCGTTCTTCTGCCAGTCCATGGTATATCCAATATTCTTCGCCAACACCATAATTCAAAGGCATCAATTCTTCTTCAGTCTTCCTTATTTGTTGTCCAGTTTTCACATGCATATAAGGCGATTGAAAATACCATGGCTTGAGTCAGGTGCACCTTAGTCCTCAGAGTGACATCTCTGCTTTCTAACACTTTAAAGAGGTCTTTTGCAGCAGATTTGCCCGATGCAATACGTCGTTTGATTTACTGACTGCTACTTCCATGGGCATTGATCGTGGATCCAAGTAAAATGAAATCCTTGACAACTTCAATCTTTTCTCTGTTTATCATGATGTTGCTACTGATCCAGTTGTGAGGATTTTTGTTTTCTTTATGTTGAGGTGTAATCCATACTGAAGGCTGTAGTTGTTGATCTTCATCAGTTAAGTTCTTCAGGTCCCCTTCATTTTCATCAAGCAAGATGGTGTCATCTGCATACTGAAGGTTGTTAATTAGTCATCCACCAATCCTGATGCCACATTCTTCTTCATATAGTCCAGCTTCTCAGATTATTTGCTCAGCACACAGATTGAAGAAGTATGGTGAAATGATAAAACCCTGACGCACACCTTTCCTGACTTTAAACCACAGAGTGTCCCCTTGTTTTGTTTGAACTGCCTCTTGATCTATGTACAGGTTCCTCATGAGCACAATTCAGTATTCTGGAATTCTCGTTCTTCACAGTGTTATCCATAATTTGTTATGATCCACACAGTTGAATGCCTTTGCATAGACAATAAAATGCAGATAAACATCTTTTTGGTATTCTCTGTTTTCAGCCAAGATCCATCTGACATCTTCTGAATCCGGCTTTATTTCTGGTGGTTTCTTGTCAATGTACTGCTGCAACTGCTTTTGAATGATCTTCAGCAAAATTTTACTTTCGTGTGGTGCTGATATTTTTCAATAATTTCCGCATTCCGTTGGATCACCTTTCTTTGGAATAGGCACAAATATGGATTCTTCCAGTTGCTTGGCCAGGTAGCTGTCTTCCAAATTTCTTAGCATAGACAAGTGACAAGGTATACTGACTGCCATAATTGGTAACTGGTAATTGGACTGTCAGAAAAATGAACAAGTCAGTCCTGGGGAAAGTACAAAGAGAATGCTGCTTAGAAGCAAAGATAGGAAGACTTCATCTTGCTTACTGTGAACACATCATCAGTAAAGACCAATCACTGCAAAAAGACATCATGTTTGGTAAAGTAGAGGGTCAGTGAAAACTAGAGAAACCCTCAGTGAGATGGACTGACATATAGTAACTGCAACAATAGGTTCAAACATATTAACTGTTGTGAGAATGTCACAGGACTGGGCAGTGCTTCACTCTGTTGTATATAAAGTTGCCATGAGTCGGAGCTGACTCGATGGCAACTAACAACAACAAAGAATTTAACAAAAAGATAAACAACCCAATAAAAAAAAAAAAAAGCTGGTAAAGGACTTGAGTAGACATTTCACCGAAGAAGAAAAGGAAATGGCCAACAAGCAAATGAACAGATGTTCTACTTCATTAGTCATTAAAACCAGTTACAACAAGGCTGACTCCAACTCCTGGTGACCCCATGTGTGTCAGAATAGAACCGTGCTCCAAAGAGTTTTCAGTCACTGATTTTTCAGAAGTAGCTTGTCAGGCCTTTCTTCTGAGGTGTGTCTGGGTGGACTTAAACTTCCAACCTTTCCATTAGTAGCCAAATGCATTACCTGTTTGCACCACCCAGGGATTCCTATCAGTCCATTAGGAAAATGCAAAGCAAAACCACAGTGAAATACCACTTCATACCCACTAGGATGACTATCATTCAAAAAACAAAAAAAAAAAATTAGGTATCGGCGAGGATGTGGAGAAACAGGAACCCTTATCTATTACTGGAGGGTTTGTAAAATGGTTAAATATAGAATTATCATATGATCCTGCAATTCCACTCCTATGTATATCTCCAGAAGAACTGAAAGCAGAAAAACAGAAACCTCTACACCAATGCTCACTGCAGCAGTATGCACAATAGCCAAAAGGTAGAAACAACCTAAATGTTCATGAACATCAGATGAATGAATAAACAAAATGTGAAATATCCATACAATGGAATATTACTTAGCCATAAAGAGAAATGAAGTCCTAATTCATGCTACAACATGGCTGAACCTTGAAATCATTATACTGAATGAAATAAGTCAGTCACAGAAGGACAAATACTGTATGATACCACTTACCTGTAATAAGCAAATGTATAGAAACCAAAGTTTATTAGTTGTTACCAGGAATGGGAGGGAAGGGGAAAAGAGGAGTCATTGCCTAGGGGGCACCGAGTTTCTGTTAATGGTAGTAGAATAATTTCGAAAAGGATGGTGGTAATGGTTGCACAATATGAACATAATCAATGTCACTAAATTTTATGTGTAAAAAATGCTGAATTGGCAATTTTTTATATGTATTTATTTTTTACCACAATAAAAAAGGTCAGAGATTATCATAACAGGTAAAAAAGCAAGACCCAACTATCTGCTACTTTAAAGACATGGAAGGTTGAAAGTAAATGGATGTGAAATGATTTACCATGGATGTGAAATGATATACCATGCAAAAAGTAAGCATAGGAAGACAGGAGCCACCATATTAATATCAGATAAAATAAAAGGGTAAATTAAGCAAGAAGACATAATAAATGTTTCAGATCTTAATGACAGATATTCAAAATACATGAAGAAACAATAGACATAATTAAAGGGAGAAATAAACAAACCCACAATCAGGATTGGAGATTTTAACACCCCTTTTCCAGCAAGTGATAGATCAACCAGACAAAAATATCAGTAAGGACTAGATGATCTGAACAACACTATCATTCATCATGACCTAATTGATATTTGTAGAACATTATAACTTACAAATCCAAAATACACATTTATTTCAAGTGCACATGGCACGTTACTGAGATTGACCATATACTGAACCACAGAAGAAATATCAATGGATTTGAAAGGATGAAAATTCTTTGACTGTAAGCAATTAAATTAAGAATCTATAATACGTATAGAAAACTTGCAAATATTTGGAAATTGATCTACATATTTCTAAATCTATGCATCAAGGAAGAAATGTTAAGAAATCAGAAAATATTTTGAATAATGAAAATGTAAAAAATCAAAATTTGTTTACAGATAAAGCACTGCTTATAAGAAAATGGTTAGCTGCTTATACTAGAAAAGAAAGATCTAAAAGCAATGGCTTAAGGATTCCCATTAAGAAACTAGAAGAGAAAGGTAAACCAAAAGTCAGTAGAAGAAGATCATAAAAATAAAACCAGAAATCAAAGAGAAAATAGTAAGAGAGAAAATAATTTACCCTTTTATCTGATATTAATATGGTGCCTCCTGTCTTCCTATGCTTACTTTTTGCATGGTATATCATTTCACATCCATGATAAATCATTTCACATCCATTTACTTTCAACCTTCCATGTCTTTAAAGTAGCAGATAGTTGGGTCTTGCTTTTTTACCTGTTATGATAATCTCTGACCTTTTTTATTGTGGTAAAAAATAAATACATATAAAAAATTGCCAATTCAGCATTTTTTACACATTAAAATTTAGTGACATTGATTATGTTCATATTGTGCAACCATTACCACTATCCTTTTCGAAATTATTCTACTACCATTAACAGAAACTCAGTGCCCCCTAGGCAATGACTCCTTTCCCCCTCCCTCCCATTCCTGGTAATAACTAATGAACTTTGATTTCTATACATTTGCTTATTACAGATAAGTGGTATATTGATAATAGTCAAAATTAATAAAGTTGGTTCTTTGAAATGATCAACAAAACAAATGCAGTTTATCTTAGGTAAATTATACTTCAATAGGAAAATGCATTCTTGTACGTACGACTTGCTTTTCTTTTATCCAGTAACAGTAATAGTTATATGTAGACACATATTTTTCAGACCTAATATTCAGTTCTCTTACAGTTGTTCCTAAGGTTAATGCTTAATTGCTCACCTTATTGAATTTCTTGTAGATACCAAAGTATATGTATTGATTGAGAAATGTTTTTACTTTCCACCAACCAGCATCCCAAAAAAAAATCAATAGGAGAAAAACAAAGCCTGAAGTACCCATTGCAATCAAATACTTTCCAATCATATTCTCTCCCAAAGAATAAACATTATCTGTGAATGGCAAAAAAAGAGATCATCTTACTGTAGAACATTGACATCATGAAAAAGGTCTAAGAAAACAACAAAAAGGAAGAAATACAGGATAAGATGGGATATGAGACTAAATTGTGACAAGTATTTAGAATGTGACAAGTGATTATCTTACTATGGAAATACCACTTGAACAATGAATTCTGAAGGCTGACCTTCATGACAGAATTTATGGTAATTAAGTAACCACATGAATGTTAATATATATGTAGATATGTCTCATTATTGTGGAGACATATATACCAAAAATCCTTTCAGAGGGGTGAAACCTTAAATTGATAATTAGAAGAAAGTTTTAAAGTACAAATATTCTTGGGAAAGAGAACACACTATCATTTAAACAAGGTAAAAATGACCATTAGCTGACACTTTTTGAACTTTGTTAAGAAGAAAGTTCATGAGTAAAAGATACAGAATTCCTGATAAGAAAATGATAAACTCTTACCCATTTTAAAAATAAAAATTAAAAAAATTTTTTTGTTTTAGATTTACAGAAAAAGTATGAAGATAGTACAGAGTTCCATATACTCTGCACCTGGTTTTCCTTATTATTAAAAACATACATTAGTAAGGTACATTATTTACAATTAATAAATCAGTATTGACACATTATTATTACTAAAGTCCCTAATCAAATTTCCTAGGTTTTTTTTTTTTTTTTTAAATGTAATGGTCTTTTTTCTGTTTCATGATCTAATCCAGGATATATATTACTCTTAGTAGCCACGTCTCCTTAGAGCCTCTTGGATGTGACAGTTTCTCAGATTCTCCTTGTTTTTGATGACCTTGACAGTTTTGGGAGTACTGGTCAGGAGTTTTGTAGAATGTCTCCCAATTGGGAGTTGTCTGATGTTTTTCTCATGATTAGACTTGGGTTAGGGGTTTTGCGGAGGAAGACCACAGAGATAACATGCCAATTTTATCACATCATATCAAGGGTACATACTATTAACATGACTTATCACTACTGATGTTGACCTTGATCACCTGATTGAGGTAGTGTTTGTCACCTTTCTGCACTATAAAGTTACTCCTCCAACCCTTTTCCATACTGTGCTCTTTGGAAAGAAGTAATTATGCACATCCCACACTTAAGGAGTAGAGAGTTATTCTCTACCTCCTTGAGTGTAGTAGAGTAACCACAAAAATTATTTAGAATTCTGTGGGAGAATTTGTCTCTTCTCTTTCCATTTATTTATTTATTCAGGCAGTCATTTATTTATAGCAGAATAGATTCATGGATACTTTTAGTTTATACTTTGGGTTATAATCCAATACTACTTTATTTTGTTGCTCAAATGGTTCAGCTTTGGCCATTGAATTCTTTCCTTGTTTAAGAATCATATTTTATATGGGTTTGTAGCTGATGTACAGAAATGCAATTGACTTATGTTTGTATATATTTTGCAGTCAGTAACCACATTAAATTCTGATTAAGTCTAAAATAATTAGGGGATTTTTGTGATTTCTGCATAAACGATCATATCAAGTATTATTTAATCTTTTCCATTCCTTATAGTTAAGAATTATGTTTCAGAAATACTTGATTCATAGCAAAGATTATATGCTACATATGTGTAAGTTTTAAGCATATTTTAATTCCATCTATGAACCACTTCCAAAATGAAGTTTATAAACAACTTGCAAATATTACATACGGCTTCATTTTTCCATCCCCCAGGTTCAGAATGATGAATTTTGTTTTGCATTCCTACTTTTTACATACAAGTGGACCACTACATGTATATTTCAATCAATAATATATGGTTTGGTTTTTATTTGAACTTTACAAAAATATTATACTCTGGAAACTTTTTGCCCTTAATGTTGTCATTTAAAAATTTTTCAAACATGAAGTAAAATCGATATAATAGTACAACACCATATCTTCTACCATATCAACATTGTTAGCATTTTGCTACATTTGCTGCCTCTCCCACTGCCCTATGTATATTTGTAAGTTGCCTCTATGGGGTTTTGTTTTGCTTTGTTTTTGAGATTTTCTCATGCGTATTCCTTTGATTTTCCATCTTTTGTTTGCGTCTCATGCTAGCTTTGTATGAATGTTGGCTGCCTTTTTCTGTTCAGTATAAATTGTTCTGAATTTTCATCGATCATGAAAAATGGTAACTCTATGGAGTGGTGATGATGGGTTTGACGTCATTACTTGGTTGCTTAGTTTATGAGAGCTATTTCTGTTGGTAGAGTGAAATACAGTTTCTTTAACAGATGCCCTTTTGGGGGTTGTGGGTGCAGACACAGTTTTCTGATTCCCTTATAGCCTTTTGTTTCTGCAGTACCCTTAACTTTTTCCCCCTTCTTTTAATTAACAGATACTATTTGTTTTCTTCTTTCCACACATCAAGTCTCCAAGAGACAAGTCTGCCTTCTGAGTTGTTCTTCATTCTCTAAGAAGTGTTGCCTTCCTAAGAATGAAAAATTTCCAAAATTAATGAGAGATATAAAATTACAGATCCAAGAAATTCAGAAAAGTCTGTGCAGTAAAAATGCTGTCCCCCCACACCCCAAACCACACTGAGACACATCATGGTCATGAAAAGAAGACAGGTTGACAATAAATGATCTGATAATCCATCCTACAATGTTAGAATATTGATACCAAAGAATGTAGAATGTAAAAGGAAGAAAATAATAAAGAACATAAATTAGTAAGTTGGAAAACTAACATACAATAGAAAGACACATTTGTTTTGGGGAAGAGTAATAAAACTGATAAGGAACCCTGGTGGCACAATGGTTAAGTGCTAGGCTGCTAACTGAAAGGTTGGCAGTTCAAACCCACCTAGTGGCTCCATGGAAAAAGATCTGCTTCCATAAAAATTACAGCCTAGAAAATCCTATGGGGCAGTTCTACTCTGTCACATGGGGTCACTATGAGTTGAAAATCAACTTCATGGCACCCAATAACAATACAATTGATAAATGCCTGGTAAGACTGATCAAGAAAAAATATATAGGTGGCACAAATTAAGAGTATCATGAATAAATATGGGGATATCACTATAGATCTCACAGATGTTAAATATACTATAAGATATTATGAACAATTTTCTCCAATAAATTCGAAAGTTTAGATGGAATGAAACAATCTTACAAAAACTCTATTAACTCCTTCCCCCTAAATTAGTATGCCCAAATAATCCTATCTTTATTAAATGAATGTGATTAATAAATAAAAACCATCCAAAAGGGCACTCTACATGCATAAATAGCTTCATAAATAAACTCCCCCTAACATTTAAGGAGAACACCAAACCTACACAAAATTTTTGAGCAAATAAAAAAAGGGAACACTGTTTGTTTTCTATACCAAAAGCTGACCAAAAGTCCTCACTTTACAAAAAAAAAGACAATTATAGGTTAATCTTTTATGGATATAGATGCAAGAAACTTTAATACATATTGGTGAACCAAATTCCATGATATGTAGAATTTTAATACATCACAACAATATTGGATTTATTCGGGAATGGAAGATTGGGTTAACATTATAAATTCAGTAGTCTATGTAATTCACCACATTAACAGAACAAGAAGACAGATCATTTGTCCATCTGAATAGAAGCAGTAAAAGCATCTGATAAAATTGAACACTTATTCATGATTTAAAAAACAAAGACTCTTACCAAACTAGGAATGGAAAGAACTTCCTTAATCTAATAAAGGATTTGTACAGCAAACATCATACTTAATGGTAAAATAAACTACTACATTCACTATGAAACTGGACGTCTACTATCACCACTTTGATTCAACATTGAACTGTAGGTCAAGGCAGTAAATCAAGAAAACAAAATAAATGTATAGGCATTGAAAAAAAGAAATATGTTATTAGTAGATGCTTTGAATGTATCCATTGAAATTTTTTAAAAATCTACAGATGAATTAATAAAATAACTTAGCAAGTTCAATATAAAAAAAATAAACTCAACAGCAACAAACAATAAAAAATAACACTTCAAAAAGTGATACTATTAATAATAGCATTAAAAACACAAAAATATGGAAGAATAAAGTTAATGTATTTGCAATACCTCTAAACCAATAAATAATAAACAGTATTAAATAAAAATTAGGAAGACCTAAGTAAATAAATGGAGGGCTAACTAAGTAAATAAAGGGATATACCAAGTTTACAGATTATAAAACTCAAAATTGTAAAGTTATTATTTACTTTGAAATTGATCTGTACAATCAAATCAATTCCACACTTTTAGGAGATCCACAATGTCAAAACAATTTTCAATAATAAGATTCTATTTGCCTTTTTCACCCTTGTTTTCTTAGTGGAATTTTCCAGAGGCTACGTGATGTGTAATATTATAACAGATTGAATGCAGAAGTCATTTCAGCTATTTTCTATTAATCCAGACATTGGAGAGATTTGACTATGTAAGACAGTGTCACTCTTACCACAGTTTTTGCTTTGAAAAATATAGTTATATTGCATAAAATATGTTATTTATTTTAACATATAATTGGTTTACTGTAATTATTTTAAATGAATTATTAAAATATTATAAATTTTTTGTTTTAATTTCTAATATGATAAATGTTAATAGATTTAACCCACATAAACCAAAGCTCTTTGGGGATTACTAATAATTGTTAAAGTATAAAGACTAAAAAGATTTGAGAACTCTTGGAATAGAGAGTCCAGAAACAAATATGCCACTTGATTTATGATGCTCAGCAGTGAGAAAAGGACAATCCTCTAGATAAATGGTGCTGGGTCAAGAGAATTCATATAGAACAAATGAATCTTGATATCTACTTTAAACCACAAATAAAAATCAATTCCACGTGGACCGTATATCTGAGTGTGAAAAGTAAAACAATAGACTTTATAAATTATATGACAGGAGAATGTCTTCAGGACTGTAACCAAAGATTTCTTAAACAGAACACAAAAAGTGCTAACCATAAAAAATGACTGGTAAACTGGGCTTCCTTAAAAGAGAGAATTTCTATTCATCAAAAGACACTATTAAGAAGGCAAAAAGTCAAACCTCAGAGTGGGATAAGATATTTGCAAAACACTTACCAGTAAAAGACATAAATCTATAAAGGACTCCTAAAAAAAATAGTAAGGACATTTATTGATAACCCAGGAAGAAAATGGGAAGAATCTAAAGAGTTATTTCACAAAACAGGATAGCCAAATCATCAATAAACATATGAAAATTGCTTAATCTAATTAGAGATTAGGAAAATGAAAACTGAGATCAAAATGAGATATTACTACACACCCACTGTCTTAGTCATCTAGTGCTGCTATAACAGAAATACCACAAGTGGATGGCTTTAACAAAGAGAAGTTTATTTCCTCACAGTAAAGTAGGCTAAAAGTCCAAATTCAGGGCATCAGCTCCAGGGGAAGGCTGTTTCTCTCTGTCGGCCTTCTCATCAGTCTTCCTCCGGACTAGGAGTTTCTCCGCACAGAGACCCTGGGTCCAAAGGATGTGCTCTGCTCCTGGCACTGCTTTCTTGGTGGAATAAGGTCCCCCCATTTCTCTGCTCGCTTCTCTCTTTTATATCTCAAGAGATTGCCTAAAGACACAGTCCAGTCTTGTAGATTGAGTCCTGCCTCACTAACACAACTGCTGCCCATCCTCCCTTATTAACATCATAGAGGCAGGATTTACAACATATAGGAAAATCACACAATACCAGGAATCATGGACCAGCCAAATTGATACACACATTTTTTGGGGAACATAATTCAATCCATGACACCCACCAAAATGATTAAAAATGCTGATGTCAAACAACTGGAATGCTTATACACTGATCATGGGAATCTAAATTGATACAACTACTTTGGAAAACTTTTAAGTATCTAAAAAAGCAGAAATACTTAACACCCAAAGGCATGGAAAGAGTGTTCATAAAAGCATTATTTATAATAGCCCTCAAGAGAAAACAACTCAAATGTCAGTCAACATTAGAAAGGATAAATAAATTGTATGTTCAAATAATGGAATACAATAGAGAAATGCAAATGAATGGAACGACTGGTATATTCAACAATACGTATAGATTTCACAGACATATTGTTAAACAAAAAGAGGTCAAACACACATGCAAAATTACATAGTATGCTTTCATTTAAACGGACTACAATAATCTATGGTATTAGAAATCAGACTAGACTTTTGGGAAAGGAGAGGTTGTGACTGGGAGAAGTCATAAAAGGTGTTTCTGGAGTACTGGTAGTATTTTATTATATTTCTTGATTTCAGATAATGTCACATAGTTAGGTTTAGTGGGTGAAAATTCAATGAGCTATACAGTTAAAAGTTTTTGTATGTTTTTATTTACAGGTTATATTTTATTTATTGCTTATTAAAATGTAAAGGGGCCTTCTAAATTTTCTATCTCAATACAATATTCACTTCCCTATTTATTTATTCTACCATTACTATGCTATAAGTGAATTAAGTCAGGAAATGTGTGTTTTTTCACCACTGAATAACAGTATCTATTACCATGGTAGGTCTATAAAAAATGCTCAATATATTTTTAGTAAATGAATAAAAGGATCACTTGAATTTTTGAGAGAACAAACAACAAAAAAGAAAAAGATCTAATGAACAAAGAAAACAGTTCTTTCTGGGAGAAAGTGAGATAATCTAGTCAATTGAAGAATTTTTTTAAAGTCTATTCTGTTTTCTACCCTCAGAGATTCAAGAAGATATCGCATTCAAAAGCAACAACAAGTTAATTAAAATAAATCATCAGAGAGTAAGGAAGAGTTCTCAGATATTAAACATGTCATTGCAAACTAAACCAATACAAGGATTGGCAGATGACACTGAGGAAAAAGTTGAAGAGACAGATAATGTGAGAGAAAAGTACGAGATACCAAAAAAAATCAAGAAATCATTCATTCCACTTATGCTCATCAAAAGACTTCATCAAAAGAGTAAAAAGACAACCTATACGCTGGGAAAAAAATTTTGGCTACGACAAATCTGATCAGCATCTAATTGCTAAAATCTACAAAATACTGCAAATCCTCAACAACAAAAAGATAAATAACCCAATTAAAAAATGGGCAAAGGATACGAACAGGTACTTCGCCAAAGAAGACATTAAGGCGCTAACAGACACATGAAGAAATGCTCACAACCATTAGCCATTAGAGAAATGCAAATCAAAAGTACAATGAGATACCATCTCACCCCAACAAGGCTAGCATTAATCCAAAACACAAAATAGTAAATGTTGGAGAGGTTGTGGAGAGATTGCAACACTTATACACTGTTGGTGGGAACGTAAAATGGTACAACCACTTTGGAAATCGATTTGGCGCTTCCTTAAAAGGTAGAAATAGAAGTACCATACGATCCAGCAATCC